TGCTTTCTTTTGTCCTCTCAGATATGTGGAGCAGAGGTTCTTGACACATTCTTACTGGAAAAAGTTACAGAGGGTAACATCAGGGGATTTGGGACCACCATTCCACAGGCAGGTCAATGCTGGGAAGTAATCTTTTTTAACACTATGGAAGATGTCCTCTCCGTACCAAGGGACCTGAGCTGGAATCCTATTGCCCTGGAAAATGGAGTTGTCAGAGGCTTGCTACAGCTGCAGAGAAAGCCACTCTGGTATCATGTCTTCATGTGACCCTAACCTGGTATTCACAAAAAATGGGTGGACCATATATGCAAAAGCTGAGAAATGTAAGAGGAGTTCTGATTTTAGTGCATAGTGTGTGCTCACAAACAACCTAGTTACTGTGGAATGCAGTCTCTGTACTTCCTCAACCACTCTGTCTATTAGGAGCCACAGTTTCCACTCCACCCCTGGAGCTGCTGTCTGTTATCACACGTGCGGTGGCTGCATGTGTTTTTTCCCTGGTTGCTCCCGGGGACCAGACTGGGTCCGTGGGATTCCCTATGAACAGCATCATCCTGCGTTGTGGATTGCAGGATTACGTGCTTAGTCGTCAGCTTTCCATGATGATGACAATAGCCTCTCCCTCCTTCTCATCAGCCAGCTCCACCCAGGCAGGTAGAGAGATGAGGCAAATCCTCTTGAGGTGACTTTCCAAGGGCTCAGGCGCCAGGGCTTCCCTCCTGTGCCTTCTGTAGGCTGGGAATGATGTGGGAAGTAAAGTTAACCTCTGGGCTCAGAGGAGGCATTCTGCATTCCAGGACATCAGAGGAATCTTTGGAGGGAGGTCCTGCACCTGCATGGGGCTGTCCTAGCAGAGAGTGGTGGCCAGACTCCACAATCCACTGGGGAGGAGGCCAGCTGTCCTCCTAGTTACTCAGGCTGTTGTTTGCTTTAGTTTCTCCCACATAGTTGCCTGAACTATCGTCCTTTGTTCTAGTCTTGTTACGAAGGCCAGGCCTTCCCCATTCAGCTCCTCTGGGAACCCAGAGCTCCCCTGGACTCTACCGTGATACCTGATCCAGGGTTACCAGGAGATTTCATCCAAGAAGGAAGCTCTCTAATCTTCCAGGGGATCCCACTGCTTAGGACCACAACCCTCCCTTGGGCACTAAAGCGAGGGTGGAGGAGGGTTTAGAGGACTGGATTCTTAAGAGGGAGAGAAACACAGCCCAGGCCAGGGTGGCAGGCTGAATGTAGCTAGAGAACACTGGACACTCCCAGTCTCCAGACCAAAGTGGGGAGTGAGAGAGAGAGGAGAGAGGGAGAGAGAGAATGAACCAAGTACTAACTTGCCTTTAATTGTGGTTTGGGCCAGCAGGAAGTGAAATTGGAAATGGATCTTCTGGTGAAGGGTGTGAGAGTTTCCCTTGCAATTCTTCTCCCACCACCTTAGAAGCCCCCTTCATCTCTCATGGGGTGTCCTGTCTCACTGTTTATCAGCGCCACTGGAACTTGTTCCAGAGCATTCTCAGGCAGGTGGGGATGAAAATTTTTTTTATTAGAAAATGTCTTATAAATCTGCCAGTGGAGAAATACCTGCATCAGGAAATTAAGCGTGATGTTTTTTATTGCTAGTGCCGTCCTGTGCATATGTCAAGCCAGGGACTGGATAAGATGTAGAAGCTGGGGCTGGGGATTTAGCTCAGCGGCAAAGCGCCTGCCTGGCAAGCGCAAGGTCGTGAGTTCGGTTCCCGGTACCGGAGAAAAACAAAAAAAACAAAAACAAACAAACAAAAAAAGATGTAGAAGTTAAACCATCCACTGGTGGGAAATGGTTGAATATGAGGTCCCTGCTACAATTAAATGATAACTTCATTTAGGGACGATTCTACCCCCACCCTCAAAAAGGCATGAAATCAGGACTGAGGGAGGAGCTGATGGGACTATCTGTGCTGGTCTCTGTGGCCACAGCCTGGAGGGCAGCCTGGGACCTAGTAGAGGAAGAGCAAGGAAGACTGGCTGTGGAGGAGAGAGGGCAGCCTGCTGAGTTCATGCCAAAGACCCAACTTCACTCTGATCATGTTTTTGCCCAGGTGCTTGGACAACATGGTGCCTGCTTGGGAGGGTGTCTCCGCTCCGCTGCTGTGCTGAGCACCTGCAAGTTTGTAGGAGACTCATCTGATTCTGTTGCTTTCCTGACTGCTGCAGCTCTGCATGGCTCTGGGAGCAAGGCAAACCTCTACACAAGGCTTTCCAGACCTCTACTAACGCATCACACACTTGCAGCATTGACTTCCTTTCTCAGTCTCTAGCCACCCCCTCTACACACACATATAAATAATATATTAGTTCCTGAAGCTTCCCATGGATCCTTACACACAAAACTTCTTCATGCTTCCTCAGAGTAATATTAGCTCATTTTCACTGAGAATTCATGTACCAGATTTTCTGCCAAGATCTTCATGTAAATCACCTCATTTCAGGCTCAAAACAACACTGTGAGGCAGTTACTATTTCCACCCTCTGTTTACATTTATAAAAATAAGTATGGCAGGGTCAGAGACACACAAAAACCTGGTCGGATCTCAAAGCTCATGCTATGAACCAGAAGATGACAGGGATCTGCTTTAAAGAGAAGAAAAATAAGTCAATACTTTATATTTTGCAAGTGAAAATCTTTGTCATAAGACTCTGGACTCTGCCATTGTGGTGTGAAATCAGCCATAGACATGGGACAATGATATGCATATATTCTCACCAGACAGACCCAAGGAACTTCCCCTCAGAAAGGAAACAGAGACCCCCCTCCAACTCTCCACACCTACAGAGTAAGTAGGGTTGCCAAGTTGTGCCACAGAAAGCATTTAAAGATGTGTCAACGAGGGCAGAGAAGAGATTTATTAGGCAGAGTTAAAGAAGAACACAGAAAACAGTGTGGCCACTCAAGGGAGAGGTGCACCATGGCTTGGGCTGGGAATGTTTATGTGTTTTGGCAGAGGGTGTCCCCAAGATGAGTTCTCCAGGATGTGTATTCTTAGTGTCTCTCAGGTTACCTGTTCATACGCTTAGAATGCAAGCTATCTGCATTTGTTTAAAGTTTAGACATATGGTACTGTTAATAGTGCTGCTTTTTGAGCATGAAAATATGGAATTTGTGAATCTATAGCCTGGAGGAAATGGTAGGGTCAATTAACCAGTTGAAAAGCAAGGGCCAAATTTATAGGATTATTGTACCTTTAAGATTCTTAGGAATTTGGGGGGGTTTCCCGGAAGGAAAAAAAGACATTATAACCATGGGTAACTGTGATTGTGTTCTAAAGCTGAAGTTTTCTTAAAAATACAACTTTTAAATTATGATTATCCTTGTCTTTTTCCCCATTTATCTCTATTTATTCTATCCTGCCCTTATTAGGACATTGGGCAAATGCACATTGCTCCCACCTAACTTGCTCACCCTTTGTACCCCACCCAGCATCATCCATGCCACACCTAATGCCCCTCTCGCAGGAGAGTACAGTGGATCAGCGCACCAGACCATGAGAAGGAGCGCTTCTTTCCCAGAACTGGGTGGAAGCACATTCCTTGTGAACCATTGTGCAACGAGGGTGGAGGTAGGGCTGCCACTGCTATTGTCTGCAGAAAGTATCTCTTTCCTGCCAGACGCTGAGTTAGCACCACATTTGGGCAGAGAGCTCTCTGCCTACCTGTAAGCTGTGTCCCCCTGGTGGAGATAACAGACTGGGTGTCAGACAGTAACAGGTGCTTTCTCTAGGCCCATCTCAACATAGATGTTCATCTTTCCTCCCATGCTTGTTCACTTAGGCACATGTTCTCAGAAAACAGTATGCCTAGTACTGCTCTCCTGTCTCCACATTCACAGTACTTAATATATGGACTTGAGAAAATAAAATTTATAACCTTATAAACCAAGCACTATGCGCATATGACAACCTATGGCCCCTCTGAGAAGGTGTCTAGAGATTTGTGATTTCAAGCACTGAGCTTACAAATAAAATTTGGAGTTTACTTGTGAAGTCATCGTACTTGTAAGGGCATATTTTAATGATTCATTACTTCTATATGCCCCTCAAATTTCTGGACACACCCTATAGTAAACTGTTTGATTCTTGATTCCTAAAAAATATCAAATGCAGTTGAAATAAAACTTCTGTGAAATTTTCAAGGACTTTTATGCTTCTCATTTTGGATTCTTGAAAGTTCTAAGTGAGCATTGAAATACAGCACAGGAAAGTGTGTATGAACTGGAATTGGACAGATGACTTTCCAGGAGAACTGGCCCAATGGGAAAGCAAAGAGTGAGGAGGGAAGTGCAGGTGTGAAAAGAAACTCATGCAGAGGTCCGGTGATGTCTACTGTAGTCTTCTCTAGAAAGCAGACAAAGGTCAGGTTATCATGGGAAGTAATGTTGCTCTTACAGTGAAAAATCACAACTGTATCCCTCTCACCTTACAAGGTAGGGTGTATGACTCCTAAATACTTGCATTGCCACGCCTAGACCACCAGGAAAGACAGCCAGGAGCTGTAGAACTGGATGAAACATGGGAAGAAAACCACGGCAGGGCACTTCTTGCTCAGGCCAGTGAGAAATGCTTTAAGTCCTCAGGAGTGTCCCCCAAATGTCCGAAAAGGAAGTGCTGAGAAAATAAAAACCTGTGTGGGAAGGGGGCACACAGGGAGTGTCTGAACAGGCAGAAGGAAGAGAGAGCTATCACAGATCAGTTCCTTGTCTCCTTTGTTTAAGAAGATGACTAACTCATGACTTCAGTGAATTTACTTCTAGGCTTATTGTGTTGGAATCAAGTCAAGGCTGGAAGGCAAGAGAATTTCTCCATGACTAAAGGAAGCCAAAAAGCAAACTTCAAGTTTCATACCTTTCTAGAGGTTGGGGGTGATCTCATTATTTGTAAAGCCATGCCCTTCCCAAACTGCAAGCTCACCTTCCAGAAGCCAGCCCAGCCCAGCCCATCTGTACCATATATAAACTGTTGCCTAAACCCATCTCTTTCACTCACCCTTCTCAGCTCTGCTCTCAGCCTCTCACGCCTTCCCAGCCTACTCAGCCCCAGGAAACATGTCTAGCAAAACCACCGTGAGGACCCAAAGCAGCAGCCGCCGGGGCTTCAGTGCCAGCTCAGCCAGAGTCCCTGGGCTCAGCCGCTCCGGCTTCAGCAGTGTCTCTGTGTGCCGCTCCAGGGGCAGTGGCGGCATTGGGGCAGCGTATGGAGGAGCTGGCTTTGGCAGCAGGAGCCTCTATGGCCTGGGAGGTTCCAAGAGGATCTCCATCGGAGGGGGCAGCTGTGCCATCGGAGGAGGATATGGCAGCAGAGTTGGAGGTGGCTTTGGCTTTGGAGGCGGAGCCGGCAGTGGATTTGGTTATGGTGGTGGAGTTGGTAGCGGTTTTGGGCTCGGTGGCGGAGCTGGCTTTGGTGGTGGCTATGGGGGCGCTGGCTTTCCTGTGTGTCCCCCTGGCGGCATCCAAGAGGTCACCATCAACCAGAGCCTCCTCACTCCTCTGAACCTGGAAATCGACCCCACCATCCAGCGGGTGAGGACGGAGGAGCGTGAGCAGATCAAGACCCTCAACAACAAGTTCGCCTCCTTCATCGACAAGGTGAGTCATGAGGCCTGGCCCTCTGCAGGGCATTTTAGGGAACCCAGATGGTGACATAGCAACCCTGCAACAGGGGAAATTAGAGCAGAGAGTGGGGACTTCACGCTGGCCCTCCAGAGAGCACAAGTGACCTCTTGGTGACAAGAGAGGAGGAGATGGAATTGGAACTGCTGAGTTCCATTTGGAACTGCTGCCTCCCCTATAGACCCACAGGTGGGGCAGTGTGACAGTGAGAAGGGCTAGGTCTCCTCTCTTGAGGATCTGAGATACAAGCAACGGCAGCAGTACTTGGGCCTGTGCGTCCCCCCAGGGGTCTGGGCTAGAGGAAAAGGTTAAAACAAACTGCAGAGAAAAAGATTTTCTTAATCAAGTAAGGAAAAAATTAGAACGAGTTACACAGTATGTAAAAATGTTAATTTATTCCACAAAACAGAGAGTGACTATAAAAATGGGATGTTTTATACAAGATATATGAATTAAATGGAAGGATAGATATTAATCTACACATTAGGGAACATTACATTCCAGTAGTTAAGATATTATCCATAATGGAAACTTGTACAATGTATCAGTAAACACTATTTTCAGCTAGAAGTGTGATTGTGTTGGAAAGACAAAGAGAAATTCTAAAGGCCACAGATTAGATTCATAATTTAGATGGTGAGAAGTCCTCAGTGGTTCATAGTGAGGTTTTCTTGGTGGTCTGTGTGGTGGAAAACAAAAATTACAGAGGAGCAAACTCTCAGCGTGAGGCTCTGTGCATCAGGGAGAAGAGAGGACCGCTGAGAGATCTGCCAACCCCTCACTTCTTGCTTTCTGCCTTTGTCTCACAAATAACCATCTGTGCCCCTCCCAGGTGCGCTTCCTGGAGCAACAGAACAAGGTCCTGGACACCAAGTGGACCCTGCTCCAGGAGCAGGGCACCAAGACAGTCAGGCAGAACCTGGAGCCTCTGTTTGAGCAGTACATCAACAACCTCAGGAGGCAGCTGGACTCCATCCTTGGAGAGAGAGGCCGCCTGGACTCAGAGCTGAGGAACATGCAGGACACAGTGGAGGACTACAAGCACAAGTGAGTCACAACAGGAGAGGAGGAGTGGGCTCAGATTCTCCAGCTCACACTGCAAAAGAATTCAGAGGACAAGTCTAGATGTGCACATAACTCTGGAGGAAAACATGTGCAGGAAAGATGATCATAAATTACTGCCAACCAGCAAAAACTGTAAGACAAGCCTGTTATGTGAGTTAGGGGTAGAATAAAAAGAAAAAAATTTGTTGTGATAACAGCAACAATCATTTGGTCTCTCTGTGGCAGGGAAAATGGATCTGGATGTTCTCCATTTATGGAAACAGGGGATCAGAGACAGTCCTTGGGTTTCCTCCACACACTGGCTCAAATGCGTTATACCCTTTCCTTGTAGATATGAAGATGAAATCAACAAGCGCACAGCAGCAGAGAATGAATTTGTGACCTTGAAAAAGGTGAGCTGACAAAGTTGGGATTGAGGCCGCTCTGCTGAACCAGAGATATGCTTCCGTGTCCCCCTCCCCTCCAAGAGGAGAGATGCCAGGGAGGTAGAGATGGATGGCCTGAGCAGGAGGGCTCAGCTAACTCCTCTCATTGCTCTGTCCCCAGGATGTGGATGCTGCCTACATGAACAAGACTGAACTGCAAACCAAGGCAGACAGCCTCATCGATGAGATCAACTTCCTGAGAACCTTGTATGAGGCCGTAAGTTTCCTCCCCCACTTGCGCTTCACTCGGGTGGGATCTGCAAAGGCAGGAAGACCTTGATGCCGGTACCTCTGTAAGTGGTATGCACAAAGATGACCTTCGCACCTTGTGTTCTGTAGGAGCTGGCTCAGATGCAAACCCACATCTCAGACACTTCTGTGGTCCTGTCCATGGATAACAACCGCAGCTTGGACCTGGACAGCATCATTGCTGAAGTCAAGGCCCAGTATGAGGAGATCGCTCAGAGAAGCCGGGCTGAGGCTGAGTCCTGGTACCAGACCAAGGTGAGCAGTGAGGTGGTAGCTGCTCAGCAATCCGTGTGTCCCAGGCTCCAGGTCCCACGCTTCTAATACCAGAAGCCTTCTGAACCACTGGGCTGGGGGAACTGCTGAAAGAATGTAGGGGTCTTCTCACAGCAAGTACACTACACATGGTTACACACTGACAGAATTTATGCCCAATCTAGAAAGCAAAAGGACTCAGAGGAAGGAGGACAGAGATCATATAAAGAACTCAGCATCTTGCTCACATGTACCCTGAATGTTCCTTCTCAGAATATACTACAGAACACTGTCAGATCCCAAGAGAACCAGACACTATGTGGTCTCCTAAGCAGCAGGGTTTGTGACTGGGTTTTACAGTGTCCAATAAGCCTGTCTAACCCACTTTTCCATAAATTTCAAGGGTATGACATGTCTTTTTACAAGTGAGAGCTCTCCTTTGCATAGGAAACCCATATCGATTTTCTGTGTCTTCAATTGACCTACAGTATGAGGAGCTGCAAGTCACAGCGGGCAGACACGGGGACGACCTGCGCAACACCAAGCAGGAAATCGCTGAGATCAACCGCATGATCCAGAGGCTGAGATCTGAGATCGACCACGTCAAGAAGCAGGTACACAAAGCAGAATCAGTTAGAGCTTGCTTCTATCAATCCTAGGCTCTTGGACTCCTGTCCACCGGGAATGAGGCCCAGGGCTGAGCCCCTGGAACGTACCAGATGATAAGCGCATTGTGTTGCCTCCCCTCCAGTGCACCAATCTGCAGGCCGCCATCGCTGATGCTGAGCAGCGTGGGGAGCTGGCCCTCAAGGATGCCAGGAACAAGCTGGAAGGGCTGGAGGATGCCTTGCAGAAGGCCAAGCAGGACATGGCCAGGCTGCTCAAGGAGTACCAGGAGCTCATGAATGTCAAACTGGCCTTGGACGTCGAGATCGCCACCTACAGGAAGCTGCTGGAAGGAGAAGAGTGCAGGTGCGTTGCTCACACACTAGCTCAGTCCTCTGAGATCTCCCAGATGTCCCACACTCACCACAACATTACAGCAGTAGTCATAATTGTGATTATTGTTCTAGTAAAAAAAACAAAAAACACACAAACTGAAAAGCAGTTCCCCCTGAACTATCCCCAGGTGCAGGCTTCCCCAGGTCTCCAGGTAGCAGGTTTCTAGGTCTCACCTTCCTGTGCTCCTCTCTCCCTAGGCTGAATGGCGAAGGTGTTGGACAGGTCAACATCTGTAAGTACCTGGGCTCCCTGCCTCCCCAGCCCCAGCCCAGCTCTGGCTCAGTGAGGTAGAATGTGCTCACTGTGTCCCGTGTCCTTGTCCTGTCTCCACAGCTGTGACCCAGTCCACCGTCTCCAGCGGCTATGGCGGTGCCAGCGGCATGGGCGGTGGCGTAGGCCTGGGGGGAGGCAGCGGCTACTCCTACAGCTCTGGTCACAGCCTTGGAGGTGGCTTCAGTTCTGGCAGTGGCAGAGGCATCAGCATTGGAGGCGGCCTGAGCTCTGTTGGGGGCAGCACATCCTCCATCAAGTACACCAGCTCCTCCTCCAGCAGGAAAAGCTACAAGCACTGAAGTCCTCAGCTCCTGGATAGGTGCTTGGCCCTCTGGCTACAGAGCTTCTTCTCAGGCCCTCATCCTCCCTTGGCCTCTGCTCTGTAGTTAGAGCTGAGAATGGGCAAGCCCCTACTTTCACTCTTTGTACCCCTTCTTCCATAGTTGCTGGCCTTCAGAATCTCAATCTCTGATACAACATTGTGATTTACTCACGTGTAGGTCCTCACCGTATTGCTCCGTTATCAAGGTCTTACCTGTGTTGTGTTATCACTGAAGTTGAACACTGCAGGGGAATTATCTACAACACTTTGCTACCACAAGTCCTTGCTTGAGACTTACTTAAGAACAGGGCAGCTCCCCTTTGGTCTCAGTTGACCAAACAATACCCCATCTTTCACATGTTGTGAGACTGTCTTGCAGTGACTGTGATAGCACAAGCCCTTCAGTGTATAGACCTATATCCCTGTGATGCCTTCACTACTCCTTGCTTTCTTGTAACTTTTAAATAAAGCAAATTTATGATATAATGCTTGGCTGAATGTTGCCTTACTTGATCCGAACAGTTCTTTACTTTTTCACATGAATAGCCATTTTTATCTTCTTTACGCATTGCATACTAGTTTGCTGCCATGATATTCAGCTTCCTCCTCAATAAGGTTCAAGCTTGATCAGCTGACTTGTACTCTTCTAGGTCTATGTCCCATGAGTAACAGTTATTCTCCTAAGTCTCAGATTCTGATATCACCAGGGATATTTTCTTAAATTCTATTGGTGTTTCTGGAGCCACCTGCCTTACCACCTGCTGTATTCACCTGTCACTACTCTTTCTGCAACATGGGTGGCTTTTCACATGGGCACCACTTTACTTGCTGCTCAGAATTTCCCTGACAGTAGAAAGTTGAAGACTGACTTCCAAAAACTAAGCCAACTTTACCACACATACATGTACCCACAGAAATAATGGAAAAGAACATTCTTGATGGGGAGAATTTGCTTGTATGTTACAAAGCCTAAGAAAGGACCATTCATATAGACAAGTAGAAGTAAAATACTATGTGTTATGTATATTTATAATGTAATAAAAGGTACTACACACAACTTGGCAACAAAGTTTGATTACTTAGATTAAACTGACCAATCTCTAGAAGACACTATATACCAAATTCTACAAAATGGTACATAAATAATCAGAGTAACCATAGACTTGTTAAATAAATTGCTCACAGCAGCCCAAGACTGTGCCCTATGTGTGCCTTCTGCTGCCTGGGTAAACTGGACCAGACAGTCCATATTCTGACAGCACCACATTTTGCAGCTTTGCACTGTGGGCTCCAGGAGCTTCCTGGGGACACTGGACAGTGTGACCTGGGTTCTGCTGCCACCACAGTTCATGTCTGGGCCCTGCATGCTCCTTCACCTGCCTGGGCATACTGGACACAGTGATCCACATTCCACTACCTCTATGGTACATGTCTGGGCCATGTGGGTTCCATCAGCTGCCTGGGAAACTCACATCAGGCATTCACTGTTGTACTGCCATTGCAGTTCATATCTGAGCCCTGGGAGGGCTGGATACACTCCACCAAATGGCCTGGTTATCCCAGACTGGCCAACCCATCTCTGCTGCAATTGTGGGTCAAGTCTGCCCCCAGGAAAACTAGTGACACTAGGGACATTTGATGAGCTGCCAGGGAAGGGTAATACTAGATGCTCCACCTCTGGCATCAAATATGAAAAGATGAAGGAGCAAACTACAATCTCAGAATTCCACCCCTCCCAGAACAAGTCCAAGAGACATCCACATAGGAGAACTTGGTAATCACACATCTGAAATCTCTGAAATGACTGCAGTGAAGTAAAGAAACAACTCCATCAGGCAATAGAAGAAATCAGATCAGAAATACATCTCAGCTAAAAAATAGAAATGACAACAATAATGAAAGAATAGTGCAGCACCTCTAAAGAAGACATATATAAAAAAATAGATGAGCACAAAAAAATGAGGGAAACATTAAATGATGTATAGGCAAGAATTAGAAAGCATGAAATGGATTCAGAGACATCAAGGAAATCAAAACTTCCATCAAAAACTGGAAAACCGCTTCAGTGAAGCTGAAGATAGAATTTAAGATCTTGAAGACAGCATTGCAGCTAATGATCATGAAAAGAAGGATCTCTTCACAAGGAACCAGGAAATATCAATTTAACAGCTGCAAGATAAGGCAAAGAGAAATAATTCAAAACTAACAGTTGTCAATAAAACAGTAGGAGGCATCAGAAATGACATAAAAAGAATATTTGCAGAAGTAATAGCAGGATATTTCCCAGGCATGCAAAAAGAATCTGACATACAGTTAAGTGAGGCATACAGAAATCCAACTAGCCATAACCAAAATAAAACTACACCCAGCCATATAAAAATCAAGATCCCCCAAATTCAGCAAAAAACCAGATAATTGAAAACCATTAGAGAAAGACAGGTCACCTATAAAGGAAAGCCCATCAGCATCATGACAGATTTCTCAACATAAATCATCCAGTTGAGAAGAGATTGGAGTGAAGTACTCCAGGTGCTGAGACAAAACAGCTTCCAATACAGACTGATATAACCTGCAAAACAATCCTTCAAATTTAAATGAGAAATATAATATTTCCATGAAAAAGAACAACTGAAGAAATTCATGAGCACCAAACCAATTTTACAAAGACTACTAAAAGGTATTCTAGAAACAGATAAAAAAAAATGACCACAATTTCAAGAACATAAATAGAAAGGAACCACTAGGCAGAGCAAGCAATTAAATAGAAAAAGTAGGAAACCAACAGCAGGAAAATAACATGACAAAGATAAGCCAACACATATCAGTTGTAACCATTAGTGTAAATAGTCTCAATTCACCAATCAAAAGAAGTATAGTGACAGAGTGGATCAAGAAACACAATCCAACAATATGCTGTATATAAGAAACACATTTAACTCAAAAAGAAATGCATAGACTGAAAGGAAAAGGGTAGAAAACAATTCTCCAGGCAACAGGAACCCAGAAAAAAGGGTGGTGATTCTGATTGCAGACAATGTGAACTTCAAATCAAAAACAATCAAAAGAGCAAAAGAAGGTCACTACATATTGATTAGGGGAAAACTACAAGAGGAGGAGATAACAAACATAAATATGTATGCACCAAATATGGAAGCACCCAACTATATAAGTCGAATCTTAATAGACATGAAAAACCAAATAACTAATAACACTATTGTAATGGGGGCCTAAATACCCCCTTGACACAGAGAGATAGGTCAACTAGACAAAAAACCAGCAAAGAAATTATAGATCTAAACCAAATCTGTGAGCAAATGGACTTAGTAGGCGTTTACAGAGTGTTCCACCTCACAACATCAGAATACACATTCTTCTCAGCTGCACATGGGATGTTTTCTAAAATAAACCACATTCTAGCCCATAGAGCATGCTTAACTAATTGCAAAAGAATTGGAATTATCCCATGCATATTATCTGACCATAGAACAATGAAAGTGGAAGTTAATGACAAAAAGAACCACAAAAACTCCATAAACACATGGAAATTAAATAATAACCTCCTGAACTATGAAATTAAAGAAGATATTAAACAATACCTACAAACAAATGGAAACATAAATACAGCTTACCAGAAACTGTAGGATGCACTGAAAGCAGTCCTCAGAGGGAACTTTACAGTGGTGAACTCACATATCAGGAAAACAAACAAACAAACAAAAAACAAATAAATAGCCTAATGTGGCACCTCAAACTTTTAGAAAAAGAAGAAGTCAAGCACAAAACACAAAGAAGGGAGGAAATGATAAAGATCAGGGCAGAAATCAATGCAACTGAGGTGAAGAAAACACTACAAAAATTAATGAATCAAAGAGTTAGTTCTTTGAAGGAATAAATAAAATCGACAAACCCCTAGCCAACCTTAACAAAAAAGAAAAAACTCAAATTCATGCAATAAAGAATGAAAAATGTGAAATCATTATAGATCTTATAGAAATTCAAAAGAACATGATTTTATGGAACATCTTATAGAACATTCAAAAGAACGGAATACCAACTTTAAAAATTTTATTCCCATAAGATGGAAAACACAGAAGAAATGGACATATCCCTAGGTACATATGAATTACCAAAGTTGAATCAAGAAGATAGAAAAATCCTGATAACACAACATCAATTAATGAGATTGAAAATGTGATTAAAAACTTACCAACAAAGAAAAGCCCAGTCCTGATGGATTCACAGTGGACTTCTACAAGAAATTCAGAGAAGATTTAATGCCAATACTCCTCAAACTCATCAATGAAATTGAAAAGGAAACAATTCTCCCTAACTCATTTCTGGAGGCAAATATTATACCGATACAAAAAACAGAGGAAGACCCAACCAAGAAAGAGAACCACAGACCAATCTTAATCCTGATGAACATAGATGCAAATATACATCCTAATGAACGTAGATGCAAATATACTCAATAAAGTACTAACAAACAGAATGCTGCACATCATCAATAAAATCACATGCCATGACCAAGTGGGATTCATCCCAGGGATGCAAGGATGGTTCAACGTATGGAAATCAATAAATGTGATACAGCATATCAATAGAGCCAAAGACAAAAAACACATGACCATCTCAATAGATGCAGAAAAAGCTTTCGACAAAGTCCAACATGCATTCATGATAAAAACTCTACAGAAAACAGGAATAGATGGTCTTTACCTCAGTCTGATCAAAGCTGTCTATGCCAAACCAACAGCCAACATCATACTAAATGGACAAAAACTGAAAGCTTTTACTCTAAAATCAGCAACAAGACAAGGATGTCCACTTTCACCACTCCTATTCAATATAGTTCTGGAAGCATTAACCAGAGCCATTAGACAAGAGAGAGAAATAAAAGGAATAAGGATAGGAAAGGAAGAAGTAAAATTATCACTATTTTCAGATGACATGATATTTTACATGGAAGACAACAAAAACTCCACCAGAAGACTCCTTGAATTAATCAACAAATTCAGCAGTGTAACTGGATACAAAGTCAACACCCAAAAATCAATAGCATTCCTATACACAAACAACAAACATACTGAGAGAGAAATTAAGGAAACCACACCTTTCACCACAGTATCTAAAAAATTTGAAATTTTAGGAATCAATCTACCAAAAGAAGTAAAAGATCTATACAGTGAAAATTACAGTACTCTGAAAAAAGAGATCAAAGAGGATATCAGGAAATGGAAAGATATTCCTTGCTCATGGATAGAAAGAACCAATATTGTACAAATGGCCATACTCCCAAAATTGTTATAAAGATTGAATGCAATCTCAATTAAAATACCATTAGTATACCTCACAGATTTAGAGAATTTTAAACCTCACAGATTTAGAGAAATTCCTAAAATTCATCTGGAATCAGAAGAGACCCAGAATAGCAAAAGCAATCCTGGGTAACAAAGGCAAGGCAGGTGAAATCACAATTTCTGACT